AAAAAAAAAAAACTCCTAAGGATCCGGTAGAATTTTCGAACCGTACAATGTTCGACTTCGTTTCGCATTTAAATTTCTGTACGTGACTTATCTTCGTGGCTCGCCAGCCAACACACTTCGGCGAATTATTATTTTACCGAGCCAGCCAACGAAAATCCAGTTTCTATCGCGCGCGATTTAATAAACCTATCGATTCAGGCCCTTCGATCGGAAAATAAAATCTTATATCCGTTCTTCATACAACGACGAGCAAAAGAAAGTTTACAATATATGTATTATGTGTATCACAGTTTTTATAAAATCTTTTGTCAAATTGCACTTGACAGGAAGAAATAATAACTGACGAGAGCGACGAATAAATTTCAAATAAATGAAAAGATAAAACGATAACAAAACTAGTAAAGAAAAGATACAGAGACACTTAATAATATTTAGACACCATGATGTTCGAAAGATTATTTATATTTGCTTGCAATGGTATTATTGATTAACAGAAACATAAATTTTATTTATTTAATGCACAAATTAAAGATCAAATACGGAGTAAAGACGAAGTTTAAAATTGTCTCGTTTACGTGTGACGATCTAACGTTTTATTGTTAATATTTATTTACATATTCTTGCATGTTTATACATTGAGCATCCAAGATCGAATAATTCGTTCGTATTTTTTTTTCTTTTTAACTGGCATTGAAAATCTACGTAGGCACTTTTTATTCACGTAAGAAATTCCCGAATAATTGCAGAACTTATGAATACTTCCACGTTTCACCGACTGTGAAAACTGTCTATCGATGGCCGGTATTATTTTTCGAAACAGCGGATGGTGAAATCAAACGACGGTGGGAACAGTTAATTGAAATCTTACCTGATTCGCGTGTCCAATAATTAATGGCCTTCGGGGAAGCTTCGACGAGGCAGACCAGCGTAACGTTGGTTCCAGTTGGCGCGCCGACTAGCTGGTTTGGTACTTGAACCATCGGGTGAACTGCAATTTATCGTGACGCCATTAATCAATGGCCGGACATAAAGTATACGTATATGTAATAATTATCGGGAATGCCGCGATTTGTCACCCGCCATTGATACGGATCAATGGAACGTAACGCACCGACACGTTCTGGGGTTAAAGTAAATTCGATCGCGTGAAACTGTACCGTTGAAT